AATTTAACTTTTAATTACCTATTCTGGGGTGTGCGATAGACTTACCTCCACGTGGTGCTTCCTGGGCAACGTATACTCATACGGCAAAAAAGTCTATTAACCGGCAGTTGACTTCTGACTTCAAACTACCATGACCCCACTGCATTTCATATTCGAATAATTCCACAGTACTCACCTTACCTTTTCTCTACCTTTGTGTCTGTCTGTCTATCTCTTTTACATCTGTGAAACATTGTTCTGTCCCCCTCTCGACTCTTTGCCACTTTGATGATACCTATCATAACGCCTGCCATTTGAAATAAATAAATAAATTACCTATTCTTTGGTAGCTCGCCTCTAGATACTGCCTTTTATATACTCTTTATTAATTTTCAACAGGTTTCCTAAGTTATAATTAGATCTGCATTGAGATGATCCAAGTGTTTATCGTCGTCAAGCGGCCTAATATTTGTTTAGAATGGTGGGGACGAGGTGTCTCACAGAACCTACATGGCAGTGAGCATATGCTTTTTTCATTCGCAACGACCGCTATTATTGTTTTCTTTCCAAAGATCGCCTTTGGTATAATTATAACAAACATCGTTACCAAAATCTCTTACGTTGAGAAATGTGAGCCAATCAGCCTGTGTTTGCTAAAGCGGGCAAAACCTCATATGCTTTGATATGGTTACATTGTAAGAAAGCTGTGGAATGAGGAAGTGTAATCCAAGCTAAGACCATGATTCTTGTCTGTTAAATCAGATTTCATAATACTGAGAAATGCATTCGTGCATCAAGCGGTTGGTTACTGTGCCTTAACAGAGCGACGGCAGTGTGACGTGTCTGTCGATGACATATATTACCGCCCCCCCCCCCTTCCTGTTTTTCTATTTAGACGTTTTTCATACGAGGTACTGGTCTTCCCTTTCCCATGATTTTCAATGAGAAACCTCTTTGTTTTGCTTTTTTCTCGAATAATAAGTATTACTTGCTTTCTACTAACTCATGTTTCCTGCGCCTCTCAACCAGCTATACCACTAAGTGTCTTGAACACAGCAGGAAAATTGTAGTTTCAACTCTTTCTCTCGGTTACACAAAGCACTTTCCGTCAATGGGTTTTGGTGTTTCATACTCTTCACCCTTGGTCTTAGCTTAATATTAACTTTCAGCTTCTAACATATCCTTGCTGATTGAATTGCTTTTGCTAATTGTTGTGATGACGATTAATGATTTTTTTCGAAACCTTTCGCTCTCCACATTTACTTTCCCACAACCCCATTTATGAAAACATTTTTTAACACTCAGCTTGAGGAGAGAACTAGTATCATGAGACTATCCTAGTGAGAAAGTTGAACTGTACGTAGCACTTATATCCGTATTTCATCAATTTTGTTGTTATTTATTCCATAACCTCAGATTTAAAAGTTGAACATGGTATTCTTTGTGTGCTAGATCTCCTCCTTGATCTGTTTGTGCAATCTGAAATTAGTTTATCTGATCACAACATGTTTCATTATAACCCTAAAGTCCATCATGGCCTATTTTCATTCGAGGTCTTCCGATAAACCGCGGATCAGCCCAATCTCAACACTTTTCAAAATCAACCTCCTCCCCCGAAGAAATTCCCATTCCTCCTCACGCCTATGACGAAATGGAATTATTCGCCAGTCAAGGACGTCGTTTCCAGCCAACTTCCTCTCATGGCCCAGCCGAGGATGTTCTCTTAGCAGCGACTGCTCGTGTTGCAGTAACTGGAGCCGATGCGTCATCCAGCACCGCTGGCGAAGGAGGCCTTGGTGACCTTGCCAGTTTGACCTCCGCCTCGGCTCTTGACAACCTTGATGGTGTTGGTGTCGTCACCCAAGGACTTATTGTTGTAGACGAAGAAGACGAAGCATTGGTCAAGGCAAAAGCTGCTCTTCCTTCATGGACTGCGAAGTACAATCTGAGGAGTCACTTCGATGCTGTGAGGTCATTGGTATTCCATCATACTGATCAGATTCTCCTGACGGGAAGTGAAGATTGTACTCTGAGATTGTGGAGTCTGGCAAAGCGTGTGCAGACAAAGAAGTCGTCTTGTCTAGATGTTGAACCGGTTAGAAACAGTTCCCTAATTAATTATTTGTTCCAGATAGGATTTTGACAATTCAACGCAACTCATTTAATATCAAGATTATCGTTTTAGAGCGTCAGAAGAAGGAAATGGATAACTCAATGAATAATTTCCGAAACTTCAGGTTTTAGTAGTTGAGGGTATTGAAATTTTTATTAACTTACAGCCACTCAGACCATAAGTCAGTAGATATGCAGCTCAAAACTTTAACTTACATATGTTCAAAATAGGTGATAATTGGTTAGCTTTCTGTTTGGCCAATAATTGCAGTGACCGTGTCTCCATAGATAATGTTATATCTATTTGTGAGTGTGGGGATCCAATAATCAACAATCCAATGCAAGAGAGATGACGCTTGCTACTTTCGCTATATGTAAAGAAAGTATTCGATCATAGTTCCTAAGAGAAGGAAATCCCCCCCCCCATTAAAACAATTACTTGTTGTTATTGAGCTATGGTATATGTAGCCATTTGGGAGGTTGTTTAGTTTATGACAATATCCTAATTTTCTCTTTGCAGATGTTCACTTGCCGTGGCCACACCTCACCAGTTCTCTGTGTAGCTCTATTGAGCGTCTCGCCATCTGGAAGCAAAGAGACAGAAATCACATCTGGACGAAGTAGTCCAATGGATACAGCAGCGTTGGAGAGTAATTTCGCCTTTTCTGGCTCCCTGGATGGTGAAATTCGGTCATGGAGACTTGGAGGTATGCAAATGATGCTCTATGAGGCGTTTGATCCAAGTGTTATTGGTCCAGTGTTGTGTGGGCATACGGATGCGGTGTGGTCCATTGCTGTTCGGGTAAGTGGATCATTCGCTGCATGTGTTGCACCTTGCATTATGATTGCTATTCTTTGCGTCAGCTGCACTGGAAAATAGGAGTCCACTTTCTATCTCAGAAACTAGAGATGTAATGTCCGAAGCGACGTCAATTTGATGGCGCTATCGTTTGCTTACTGTTAAGGAGAAAGCTTAATTATGAACAATTATTTATGAAGTCGACATTTTGTATTTTATTCTTGTTTATTGAAATAGCATTTAACTCTTTTGCTGTTTTTAATTGTTATTATAAGCGAACCTCTAGCAGCTGAATATTACTTAATTTCAGAACAGTAGTAGGAGGTGCTATTCCTGTAACGTTCTAAGCCCTTCATCAATATTCACACTCATCCCCTCACTTAAATGTCTCAATTAAAAGTCAGTCCATGTCCAAATGAAGCAATTTTGTTATTAATCGAATTCAAGCGTTAAAAGTTAGCTATGGAGGTTTGTACGAAATTGAGAATGATTGAAAGACTAGAAAAAATCATTCAGAACCCATTTGTTTCGTTATTTACAAATCGATTTCGCAAACCCAGAAGCAAATTGACAAGTTTCCTTAATGACAAAAATCCAGTAAAGTTAAATCCGAACTATGCATGGTATATCCTAATTCGTATTAGATCAAATAACCAATTGAAGGAAGACACAAATTAAGACATTAAATGCGTCAACAAGAAAAAAATCAATATTTATATTTGCTTCTTTATGAAAAAGTTCTTTGTTTGATATCTTTGTCCCTCTTTGTTTAATATGCCAAGAACTAAGCCTTAATCTTCCTATTGTTACATGAGATGTTCATAGTATTAAGCCACTAACCGTTGAGTTTCGGATGACTAAGCGTCCAAATTTTCGAATTGTGGGGCTGTATTTTGAGCATTTGCTCATTATAAAAAAATGATCAGATTTATTACCCTGAATTGAAATCGGCAAATGTGAGTTTAATGTCATGGAGAGAGCTTTATAAGGCAACGATGGAGGGTTTAGTGACTAGTGGTATCACTAAGACCTCTTTTTTTACAATTTGGAATTACTTACTGCCAACTTTGTAGTATTTTATGTCTGACTTTGAAGATTAAAATTTATTTCGCAATTTCGTTCTCTAAGTATTGTCTATAATGTGAATTTTATAGGCTGCATTTTATGTTGGAACGCCAAATGTGACTTTCAGGATAACCTCATTGTCTTCTATAGCACAGTTGTAATGAATAAGTTTTTGTCTATTTAGAAGTTGAAAAAGTCTGAACAGTGTTAAACCATTAGGTTAACGTTATCCCGTACTTGATATCTCAATCAATTTCTTATTTCTTTTGTACTTTGTGGTTTAGTCCGATGGCACTTTGCTATCTGCCTCTGCTGATGGGACCGTCCAAGTGTGGAACACCTTCCCAGCCTTACTAACACCGCTACAATCACAGGCTGTCACGAAGCGTGATTCTTGTGTCCTTTCAGCCAGCCACGTTTTCCGACCATCCAACAAAGCGGTACCAACTTCTGTTCTTTTCCTTCCCACTGATGAGACGTTGTGCGCCGTCGGGTTGACTAGTGGAGATGTCTGTGTTCTGAATATAGACACCGGTCGGCAGATGCTCTTTTTCGATGCTGCCGTCTCTAAAACTGGTGAGTCGTCTTAGTGTGTTTATTAGACATCAATAATCTTGCCGAGGTTATCAAAATCTCCAAGTCACTATGTACTAGTTTGATATCAATTACAGTTAGTTCCTAATTCCAGTTAGTATGTACTATGAAATAGTAATTATAGCACAGTCCAATTATCTAAACCTCTTTTTTTACCATATTTGCTGCTCAATCGTCTGCCTTTATTGAATGAATTTTTCATTTATCACTTGCCCTCCTTTGTACTGTCGTATCAGTGTTACACTCTGCGATCAATAACATTCATCAGGTCACTCATGGTGACTAACCGCAGTACAGGTTGAAGCTAGTAGGAAGAGAGGAGTATTAAAATGGAGATTTTTCATCAGAGGTTCAAGAGTGTTGCTTTTTTATTGGCAATGGGCATTAAAACATTTCTGTACGCTATCGGAACTTATTGATATAACTACCCTGACGTCAAAGTATTTTTGGACAACTTTTTATTTAATAGGTGGAGTCTCCCTATTTCTGCGGTATATTTCTGTGCATTAAATAATCGTCAGATCTTTCAATTTCGCCTTCTTTCTGCAAAGCAGAAGTGTATCGTCATCTTTACGGTTACCTCACTTCCATGCATGATACTCCATCAAGTAATATTTTGTGCACAAAAGTAAAGATGCAGCCGATATGTATAATCTTGGGCTTCTGTCAATTTCTTATCTCTATTTTAACTCCTAAGTAAAATGGTTCCTCGTATTTATCCCTTCTCTTAGTATTAATAATCAACAAGTCCTTTGGGAAGAAGCATGATTCTATCAACCATCATGGTCGGCTGGAACGCGTTTCAGTTAAGTCTTAGTAATGCGGTTCATTGCAAAAGTATCCAATTCGGGATCTTGAAATCGACAGGAGAGAGCATTGACCTCTACGTCACTACTAGTTTTTCCACCCCTTAAAATTTGAAATCGCTTTGAATTCCGCGTTCCTTAACACAGTCTTGTTCAGAAGTTCGTTCTTTAACATTAAGAAAATGGAGTTAGGTCCATGATTGCTATGTCGATGAGTAAATTCACTTATGCCACTTAGACTGTTTATCAGCCCTCTTAAATGATGACTAATACTTATCTTGACAAATGTGCACACTTGAAATGGCTTTCGTTTCTTCTTTCAGGTGATGCGACAGAAAACTTTGGGTCAGTGAATGCCCTCTGTGCACATCCCACTCTGCCACTCCTCTTTTCCGCTCACGAAAACCGTCAAATCCGTTTCTTGGACACCGCACAGGGTGTCTGTCTACATAGCATGGTCGCGCATTTAGAGGGCGTGACCTCAATCTCCATCGATCCAAGGGGAACAGTTCTTTTATCGGCCAGTAAGTTTATCCTTGCTTATTTACGTCTTACAAGTTATGAATGAGTTCACTATATTAGTATTTTCTTGGTTATAAAAGGCAACTGAAAGCTGAATATTTGTTTCCAGCTATGTTGCCTGCCAGAGGATCTTAATCCTTTGCAAGTTGGCAACTTACTTAATAAGATGGAATGCGCCAGTGGTGCATTGTTCAACGTACACGTCTGCCATTTCATGGGTTGCTGGTTCGCTTCCCATCAGTTCACCCCCAGTGGTCGGAATGGCGAATCACACTTCTTAAATCTGACTCACGTGGGGAGCGGTAGTATTTGTGTCTTTACGATGCCACTCTCCTCAAAACTATCTTAGGAAGCAATTTACTGAATGTTCTTAGGTATTACTATTAACAGTAGTATGAAGGACATCAATTTCTAGTAAATAAGATTGCGAAGTTTTCCCCTCTAGAAGGGGTATATATTCAATTTCTTGCATTGATACTGAATTATCCCTAAGAAAGAGAAAGTATTCTTGAATCATCTTACTATTGATTGTTACAAATCAATTGACCTTATTAATGCCATTTACTGTGTTAAATGTGAGTGGTAGTGTTTCATTCCGCCCTAATTACCACAAATGTGCCAATGTTCTTTGTGCAGGGGCTCTGAATTTATTTGCGTCTATACATCGTCAACTTTTTTTCTGTCCTCCGCTGATAGCTCATTCCAGTTATTGAGCCCAAATGTGGTTAGAGCTATAATTTTTTTCAGCTTATGAACAAAGCTTAGAAGGAGCAAATAATTGAATCATCCAGTTACTTTTTGAACAGGAATGTGCACAATTTTTCTAAATCTTGTTTTGAAGACGGGGGCGTGAATTCATTTTTAGATGTGGGTGTAGAGGGTGCTCGTGGAACAAGATTATTTAAATTTTTTTCTTTAAACTTTTCTTGCTTCCTGAGATGAGTTGTTGATAATATTCTCTTACACGTAGGCCATGATGCTTCAATTCGCCTTTGGGATGTGGAGACCCGAACCTGTATTCAAGAATTCAGCAGTCACAGACGAAAACACGATGAGTCGATCCTTTCAGTGGTATTCCACCCCACCCTTCCACTCATAGCCAGTGCAGGCGCAGACGGCCTCGCAAAGGTCTATGTCTGACTTCCCCTTTTAAGAAAAGGAAAAAACAAATTGATCTCCTCCGTCCTCCCCCTCCTTCCTAAACCTCATGTAAATGACGCCTTATTCCCTGTTTTGTCTCTCGCTTTTAATCTTGTTTTATCCTCCATTACCTTGTAAACCGACGACAATCAATTGATGAATCGATCATATATTTTGCGATTTTAATCTATTAAATAAATTCTCTTGCTCTCTCGTTCTCTGTTATTTTGTGTTTGCTGTGAGATTAATCGTATTTTTTAGTATTTCAATAAACTACCCAATAGTATACCTAAATTCGTTTATGCTCTCCATATTGATTATAGTTGACCATTTACTTTGTAGTCTGCGAAATTCATGGATAGTTGAATTTTTCTTAATTTAGCCATATGACCCTTGTAAAAGGATGATTCTGTTTTATGTTATTATTGATCATAGCTACAGTATTTCACACTCTATTAAAGGCCCATAACTGAGCAGATAGAAGTCGGTAAATAAATGCCCCTAAACTTAAGTAAATTATTGGCAAAATTATAAAAAATACAAAAGGCCCATGCTATTGCAATAGTTTACACTATGTATTGTTTTAACCCCATTCTTCGAAAGATGTCCATATTTTAGTCTAATAGCAACCAAATAAACCGTTCTTTAAGGTAATGTATTTTCAATTTCAGAGTGAAAATAAACCAGAACGCTTGGGGGTTTTGATATTCTCTTGTCTTGGAGGGGCGTCGTTTTTTGCTGGCATGCTCTGGTCTATGCGTTCTGTTCGAAGACGAGAGGAACTATTTCCAATTAAGGTCACTTGCTTCCCTATCAGATCTCTAATAACAAGTAGGATTTGGTTTAACCCTGTTCTTGTTTATTCCCAGGACGCCCAACCCTTGCCGGGAAGTCCTTCACGTCTTGCTGTAAGAGCCCTGCTAGCGGGTACAGCTTTGAGTCTCTTAATTACCGGAACCTTGGTTGGTGGAACTTGGTTACTTCTTGGAAGGCCTTCACTTTCATCTCTAAATCATGAGCTAAATTCCCGTATTCCAAAGATCAGGACCACAGATACCGAAAATGGGAATCGTAGCGATTTCTCCAGTTTTAGAGAACTATTCACCTACCTCCAAGATGAAGATGCGAAAAATAATAAACCCGAGAGATGAATAACAATGGTCGTTTATTGATAAAATGGCTTATGGTATTGTTGGTGATGAAAAGAAGCAGATATAGGGAAGAGAGCGAGAGAGAAACTCAGAAGATTCAAGAGCATCACTGGCAAAAGAAGGCCGAATATGAAGAAAGTTTTAACGAGTGTTGCGAATAAACAGGAGAATTAGATTAGTCTGTTGTACTAACATGTTTGCACTTGCATATAACTCGTTGGTCCTGAAAGAAAAAGTAAATAAATCAAAATAGTGGTATTGTTTGCCTAATTAGTTTAGAAATTTATATGGTCAAACCGATCTAATTAGCACAAATCTTGGAACAGCTTATATCAAATGTGTAAATTAGACTAATCAGATTAAAGCTGGAAATATTAGTAATTAAATAAACGATAAAATTGTTGTTTTCAAATAAGCGAACGAGTTGTTTTAATATGTGACATTAATTAGGGATAAAAGACAAGGCCTATTCTTGTAGTAACTATGAGAGTTACCCAATAGGGAAGCATTTTTACCTGGAAAATATCATTTCTAATAAAAAAAATTATTTCAACATGGAAAGATATTGATGAAAATTTCCAAATGAGAACAATTGAATTTGACTGACGAAGATAAGAACTTGTGATGAAAAATAGCAAATCCTGAAAATAGGTATAATCATATACACAATCATCTCCAACCCTTTGAAACAATAGTCGATAAAATTCTGCCAGTCTGTGGACCACGATATCATAACCAATAGGTAAATATTTAGTGGAGTAGACGGCTCACAAAGGAGACAATCATATACGTAATTGTCATGAGATGATGCAGAGCGCCTCACATCTTGAAGATCAGCTGACAATAATACATATCCAACTTTACGAATTCTCTCACACCTTTCTTTTCTCATTTGGATATAAGTAAATCGGAAAAATAAGTAAATTAGATGGAGATCTACTTAATAATATGATAACCGTAATCAACACTGAGACAATGTAAAAGACATAATACTGCTAATCGGACGAAACAAATAGCTACTAAGATAAACATGATATCTCAACTCAAATTGTAGAGTTCGCTGAATAAATACGATAATATATGACCAAAATATTAGAAAATAAAAAACTCAAATTAATTATTTAATTTTTTAAACCTAATTCACGTAATAAAAGGACAATGGTTACGAGTCATCAATTGTATCACATAAATGACAAACTTATAACATTAATTAAATCTTACTTATGATCACGGAAAAATCCCTTAAGAGCACTGCTGAAGCGCTTAGAGTAATCCACAAAATTAACCATATGGCCGTCTAAATCCTGTCTTATCACGCCATGTTGCAATGCATTGAGTATTGAATGAATACAGTCGAGAAGATTTTTGATAGATCCGGCAATTTGTCTAAAAAATATATATAAATAAACAACGCAGGCTTACTTGATTAACTCAATAAATTCGCTACGACCAGTAATTTCTGACGGGGTGCGACTCAGAACCAGTTTTAATTCTGCGGCATGTTTCTCAAGATCATGCGAATGAGGAACGATAGAGGAATACATGGGTACTAAAATATTACAACTCTAAGGTTAACTTACTTTCGTTATACAAGGCTGATAAACGCAGACACATTTCTTCAATATCTACACTGTCTCTAATCCCAAACCTTTCCATAAATCCACGAAGAAAATTCCAAGTAAAACCAGGAAGTGTTCGCTCAACCTTAATGGTGAACTCTAAGGAAAACTTAACATACTTCATCGAAAGTTCGTTGAACATGGACAACATCAGCTTGCATCTTCTCTGACTTAACAGACTCATTTGTAAATCGAAGGAAAAGACCCAGATTCTGAAAATAATTTTAAATTAATAATTTACATATGAAAGGGTCAATTTGATGGGATCTGGAATGGAGGCACCCGAACCACCGCCCCGAGACATTTTAGCCTAAAAGTTTTGGAAGTTCACCTGTTTAATCTGAGAGCTTTAACAATTTATTGCTACATTTTTCGTTTTTAAGTAAATCATATAAATTAAGCATTCGAATTCATTTAACTATTAATCTCTCATTTCCTATCATTAATTTAAAATCTTTTTGACAATGGTAATCTTTATAGAAATAAATGATAGTCTATTATTTAAACCTCAAACTAGATTTAAGAGAAATTTATTCTCCCTTAAAGGTTTGATTATGAAATTAAATAGCTGAGACTATTGATTTGTTCTGAAGTTAAAATTTTGCGCTTTAAATGATTTTTTGATACATATCAGACTAAAATTTGTTTTTACGTTCCATTGGCGAATATTGTGTTAACTCGTAGATAATGGCATCAAAATTACCAAAAAAAACTGCAAGTGATGGAATATATCAGTTACACAAATGAATTTAGCATTTAAATAGCTTATTTTTCGATTAATTCCTGAAAGATATTGTTTCTAAAAGAAACATGGCACGTGAGAAGCACTTGGTACTTACATTTACACAGTGTCAGATGTAGAATCCCTCATTTAGAATATATTTCTGTTGGTATTGTGCCTCTATCATTTACAGTAGTTTTCCTAGAGGGCCATCGTACCCTGTAAACCTTCTCTTTCTCACTTCTGGGCAGTAAATAAAACATGCAACCTGCATATATGGGCTGTTTACATAAAGTTGTATCGTAGCACTTATTCATTCAATCTCAATTTCAAATTCTAGACAAAATACATATTTTGGAAATTCAAATATTATTATTTTGCCAATTGGCCTTAGCTATTAAATTCCTCCATCTCTGGTGATAAAATTCTTTAAGTTCTTTTATAATGTAAGTGAACCTGCTGCGGCTGTTGACCATGTCTCACAATCTTGGTCAGTTTCCCCCCATAAAACCAAGACCGAAAAAAATTTATAAAACAGCCGTATTTTTCTGCTTTGAACCTCAGCTAATCACTAGATTCAACCGACTTTTTACGTGTTTATCCTGGAATTAGGGTGATTTTCCAGCCACCTCAGTTTAATATAGTAACATAATGGACTTCATATATTGAGTCTATTTAAACGCGTCACCGTCACCCCACGCGACTACAATGCCTCATTTTGCTATTTCCCATAATCCAGAGTATATTAAAATTTTGATTCCGTGGAAGACGAATGGAGTGAAATGAGTAGGCAACAATCGTGTCAGTAGAAAAACGTTCGATGCAATTCCACTTTCGGTAGTATTCTCGTATATACTTTCATTTATTAAAGTTTCGCCTGCTTGTTATGAGAACTATTTACACAACGATGGTATCAACACGTCTTCTTTTTTCAGTGAATTGTCAACAGAGCATAGTGCACTTGCGATTGTAAATCGCTTTCAGTACTTCCATTCTACCTTAGCTAAGCGATTTGGGATCATGTATCTTCTCATAAAAGAATAAAAAATGAAAGAACAGTTTATCAAAACATGACTGAGGCCTAAATTTTTCAATTTGAAGTAAAAAACAACATTATGTATTTCAAATTATTTGACATTTTTATTCGTATTCCCCTATAAAGTTTGAATAAGCAATTATATGGCAATAATGAAAGTGACAATGTGTCCTTTTAACTTCCTCAAAAGTCCAACATTAATATTGCTTCTTCGGGAAGTCAGAGGCCATTTTTGGATACCCAGCAGTACACACCAGAGTGACGGAAAAGTCCCATGACACTACCATGCTAACCGAAATAAGAGTTTGAGATGCTTTCTTAAAAGGTGTGAGGAGCATAACTTTAGCAGGGCGAAATTGAATGCCTCCAGACCAAACAATGTTCAAGGCTAGTACGTAGTTATCCGACCAATCAGCATTCAAAATAAATTCAAGGTTATCATAGCTAGGCCAGGGACAACCCGACCAATCAATGACAAAAGTCAGAATGACCAATCAACTGTTTAAACCAGTACGCGATTTCCTGACCAATAATGATCCAAGTTTTTACGTGGTTATCATGCCAGAGAGCTCTCCATAGCTTTGTGGTAGCTTAGCTAATTCTGGGAGCCTTTCCAAACATAGGAGAATATGCCATGGAAATTTCTGAGTATAGTTAAGGATTAGAGTAGCAATCCGCTGCAAAAGCTAGGAAGGTGTTTGTCATAAACGAAACTTAGCACTTTAAACACATCACATATTAACAAAATATTAGCTAGGCAGAAATTATTACAATTTCTTAATATTTTCTACATCGGGAAGTCTTGAGTAGAATACAGATCTTAAAGTAAATCAACTGGTCTCAAGAAAATTGCTTGAAAACAGAGTAACATTAATGGGGACGCAAATAATTAGGCATTAAGAAGAAAGGAAGGATGAAATGCCACATAACAGCATCTCATCCCTAACACGGGATTCAATGCACATCTCTAAAGAAATCTTTTGGAAAGCAGCTTGAATAATCTTCAGAGGCAAATTGTATGTAAGGGGCACTTGGAACTTCATAAACCAAGTCTTCAAACTCTAAGATGTCTTGTTGAAATTGATGAGTTCTGCATTGCTGCTTAACTGTGGGAGTTCTCAGGGGGGTTCAATAAGTCAGCTCAGCACACATCATAAAATTAGCCTCTCGACAGTGTTTAGGAGAGATTTCACCCTACTATTATCAGCCACTCTTTTAATGAGTCTTAAAATAAATATTTTAACTAAACAATAGTGTCATTTGTAACAAAATTTATGAAAAAGGAAAATTACACCATCGCAGAGAATCTCTTCAGACGCGTATTTAATTTATTTTAATAAGCGCTTTATTTCTTCTGGCCTTCTTTCTGGCTTGATGGAAGAAGACGTAGACAACTTTATATTAGATCCATTTCATCAACTCAGGCTCAGGTTGGCTGATCTTAATTTAAACCGAATTCTATGACAGTCCATCAGTGAACCGTCGGTGGTATTAAAATTTGCTGATTATTTGTTCAGATGTGAGAGGGAGAAAATCAAACAGAGCTTCCAAATGGTGTAGCGGACTGCTATGCTATAAAGCCTAGACTTTACTCAGAAATCTCTATGGCAGATTCTCCAACATCTAGCTAGACTCCCAGAATCAGCTAGGCTATAGCCCAGCTATAAAGGAAACAGTCGTGTAGCACGGAGCACGCTTATTCAGTAGGTATGTTGCAGATAAAGTGTGCACCCAGGGAGCTTAATCATGATCAGGATGGCGAATTAGGTTAAACAGAGGTTAATGATTGGTCACTGTTTGTACGGTCGCACTTCCCAATCTGGCGTGCAGGCATGCGATGACGTGTCCCACAATGGAAAATTGATTTTGAAGAATGAGCATTAAGCTCTAAACTAATTTGCCTAGGACGGTTAAATTCCCCCATCTCAGACAAGCTAAGGTACTAGCCCCAATTTGAAAAATACGAAGATGAGAGCGCTTAGAGACATCTCCTCGATTAATAATGAAAAGGATCTATGCCTCCAGTG